GCCGCTCAGCCAGCCCCCCTCCCTGCTCCAGAGCTACCTCTTCCAGCTGCTGCAGGGGGTGAACTTCTGCCACGCGCACCGGGTCATCCACCGCGACCTGAAGCCCCAGAACCTGCTCATCAACGAGCTGGGCGCCATCAAGCTGGCGGACTTCGGGCTGGCGCGGGCCTTCGGGGTGCCCCTGCGCACCTACACCCACGAGGTCCACGGGCACAGGGAGGGCAGGGGGCTGGGGGACTCCCCTCCCTGCTCCAGAGCTACCTCTTCCAGCTGCTGCAGGGGGTGAACTTCTGCCACGCGCACCGGGTCATCCACCGCGACCTGAAGCCCCAGAACCTGCTCATCAACGAGCTGGGCGCCATCAAGCTGGCGGACTTCGGGCTGGCGCGGGCCTTCGGGGTGCCCCTGCGCACCTACACCCACGAGGTCCACGGGCACAGGGAGGGCAGGGGGCTGAAGGGGACTCCCCAGCGCCCTCGGCTGCCCTGAGTGACCCGTCGCCTGGCCCCCGCAGGTGGTGACGCTCTGGTATCGCGCCCCCGAGATCCTCCTGGGCAGCAAGTTCTACTCGACAGCGGTGGACATCTGGAGCATCGGCTGCATCTTCGCAGAGATGGTAGAGGGGCAGACGGGGCCACGGGGGCGGGCCTGCGGGAGTGGGGGGGCTGAGTCGCCTGTTGGAGGTGGATTAAGGGACTGGCTAGGGACTGGGGCCTTCCCCCAGAGAGGCCGGGGCCTTAGCACAGCTGGTCTGGCCTGTGCTCTGGTGTTGGATTCCGAGGGATGAGGGCGTGGACCCCACACCTCTCCTCTTCCCCCGTCAGGTGACCTGCAAAGCTCTGTTCCCTGGAGACTCTGAGATCGACCAGCTCTTTCGCATCTTTCGGACCCTGGGGACGCCCAGCGAAGCCACGTGGCCGGGAGTCACCCAGCTGCCGGACTATAAGGGCAGCTTCCCCAAGTGGACCCGGAAGGGGCTGGAGGATGTGGTGCCCAATCTGGAGCCAGAGGGCAAGGACCTGCTCCAGGTGGGTGCCGGGCGGTGGCGGGAGGGCAAGAGGCCTCCTGCTCCAGCTGCTGCTCCCGCCACAAGCGTCCCTTCTGTTCGCCGGTGCCTCAGGCCACCCCGGCTCCCCCGAGTCCAGGCTGGCCTCCCCTCTGACCCCTGCCCGCACTGGCTTGCCCTGTCCCTTGCGGACTGACTGTTCCACCTGGAGACCTCGCCCACGGAAAGTCCAGCGTTCACCGTTCCTTCTAAACGTCTCCCCTAGTCGGCTGTGTGGGGTTTTGCAGTGATCCTGGCCCTTTTCCCTGTTACCTCGTGTCCTGGTCATTTTCCCGTGGTCATTCTGACCCCACGTGAACTGAGCTTTTCCGGGCAGGGACCACCCCTCCTGCGTCAGTGTTCCCCGCCGTGCCTTCCACACGGTTACTCCCACGCCAGGCCGTTCCTGCTGCCTGGGCCCCTCTGCCACGTCCTCCTGTTGCACCATCCGGATCCCGCGGGCTGGCCAGGCCAGACTGCCCGAGGCCTGAGCAGAGCCGCCTGGTTCTCACCCACAAAGGCTCAGAGGCACCTTTTCCCTTTCACTGGTATCGGGCCAAGGCAGACGGGGCTGTTTCCATCTTCAGACTGCCCGAGGCCTGAGCAGAGCCGCCTGGTTCTCGCCCACAAAGGCTCCGAGGCACCTTTTCCCTTTCACCGGTGTCGGGCCGAGGCAGGCCACACGTCCCACTTTCCAGAAGCCTGTGATCACCAGCCGGGTGCCAGCAGCCCCGCACAGACTGCCGCCAGCTCTTAGCACACCGTCCTGGCTGCTCCTCCTCCCCCAGCCTGGCTGGGAAGAGGGTCTGGGAGCTCCTGCCCCACCCGGCAGCTTTGGCCCCCCACTTGCTGGTTCACAGAGAGAAGTCTGTCTCAGCTACAGCAGGCGGGGGCCTGGAAGCCGCAGTCCAGAGGGGAGATGGACTCAGCAGGGCTGGACCAGGACTAAGTCTTGGTCTCCACGTCCCAGGAGTGTCCAGAGCTGACCCGTGAGCTGGGAGGAGGCGGCTCTGTGCAGTTCTGGGTCTGAAGGCAGCCCTTTGGGGCTGGGGGCCCTCCAGCCTGGGGGGCGGGGGGTTCATTCCTCTCCTCCTCCTCCCTTCACAGCAACTCCTGCAGTACGACCCCAGCCAGCGGATCTCGGCCAAAGGCGCCCTGGCCCATCCGTACTTCTCGTCCACGGAGACCGCCCTGGCCCCCCACCAGTGTGTGCTGGAGCGCTTCTGCCGCTGAGGATGCGGGAGGCCACCGCCTCAGAGCCTCTCTCCAGCGGCCGCCCCGCTGCCTCCTCACCGGCTCCCCAAGAAGGGGGACATGTCTGGGGAGAGGGCAAAGCTCTAAGGAATTTGCATCAGCCGCCAGAGGGCTGAGTTTGGGTTCGTCCTGCCAACAAGTTAGCGAGTTCCTGTGTTGTTTGTTGGGTTCGATGGTGCCGTTTCCAGACGGGGGCACAGAAGCTCCGTGTGCGAGGGGGTATGACAGGCCCTGGGTCTCCTGGCGCGGGGCAGCCGGCCAAGGAAAGCAGGAAGCCTGGCCCGCCAATGCTGCTGCGCGCAAGGCGCTCCTCTGCCCTTCGCCTGCCCAGCCCTCGCTGCAAGGCCAGACCCTGAGGGGAAGGGCGCCCTCTGCTGGCCTTTTGGATTTAAAATGTTTGGGGGAAGAGTTGAGTCCCAAGTTTAACAGGAAGGAGGGTGCGGGGGAGGGGACGTTTCCTGGTACCATTGTGTGTGGCTGTTGTAAGTAGTTGTCACCTAGGATATGTGTACATTTGTTTGCTTCTGGATTGAAGAGCAGGAAATAAAAGTGATGCTCTGAATGTCCCCGTGTTTCTCTGCTGGGGGCACAGCAGGGACTTGCCCATCTGCGACCTCCTTCCATGGCCTGCCAGCACATCCCTCCCTCTGAGTCAGAGGGGCACCCGTGTGCTAGGACCCAGTGGGCGTGCCCACCCCCCACGTGGGAAGGACTCATCCCCAGACAGGTTCACTCTGCACTCCCAAAGACGAACGAGACGCTGGGAGAATTCGTTTATTGCAAGTACTGGGTGGGGAGGAACAGATCTGCTGATCTCGGGGCCTGGGATGGATTGGGCACCAAGTCAGGGGAGGGAGCCCAACACCGTGGACGCTGAGTAACAGAACAGGGATCAGGGAAGACCCACTCCCTGGGGTAGGCTGCCCTGGGGTGCGGGGTGCCTGCAGCCTACCCTCCCCCTCATAGACGCTCCCATGACTTCACCCCATCAGCGCAGCGCATAGGGCCCAGTGGGGGAGGCGGAGCGGTAGCAGCGGTACCCCTCCAGCGCCGCGGGCAGGAGCAGCAGGCCGCTCAGGGGGTCTTTCCGGCAGCGCCCCATGGCCTCCTTGTAGCTCAGCCGCTCCTTGGAGATGGGGTCGGTGAGATCCTTCTCGTAGCTGGACTCGTCCTGCAGGAGCTGGGCCAGCTCTTCGCTGATCATGCCGGACAGCACGGCCTGCGGGACGGGGATGCGGCCCGTCCTCTTGGGGTCGATGAGCCCCCCAGTCAGGTGCTGCACCAGCAGGTGCGGGAACACGCTCTCCCGGGGCATCCAGCCCTTCTGGATGGCCTCGCCCACCGACAGCCTCTTCTTGGTGACGGGGTCCTCGATGCCGGTGAAGGCCTTCTGGGCGTTGAGCAGCCGCTGCGTCGAGGTGTTCTCAACGAGCCCCCTCTCCATGGCCTTGTGCACGGAGTAGCGCTCGCGGCTGAGGAGGTCCACGATGCCCCCCGTGGCCGCCTGGGCCTCCAGCAGCTTCTGCCCGGTGATCGGGTCCAGCATGTTCTTGGCCATGGCCGTCTTGATGGTGCACTTGTTGTCGGTGGTCGTGTCATAGACGCCGGCGATGGGGAAGCTGTCGTCGCCAAGCCCAAAGGAGAAGCCGGGAGAGAAGGAACTGGCGCTCTGGTGGCCGGGGGAGGTGAGCGGGGACTTGGAGATGATGGAGCCGATGGAGAGCGAGGGGCAGGGCTTGGTCTCCCCGGCCACGAGCAGGGCAAACTCGGAGATGGGGAGGCTGCCGACCCGGTAGAGGTGGTACTCCTCCTTGGAGATGCGCCGGCACTGCAGGGCGGTCTCGATGGAGTACTCCTTTCCGCTCTTCCGGTCCAGGAGCACCGACTCCTCCCCGCAGGGGCCCGAGGTGGTGACCTCCTCCCAGTCGCACTCGAGCTCCTGCAGCTGGAGGTACTGGCCGCGGTCGATGATGCCCCTCTTGTAGGCCTCATACGGGGACAGGTCCTTGCCCGTCTCGGGTTCCAAGATGCAGATCTTGGTGGAAAGGTTGGTCTCCCGCGTCTGGGTCTCCTGGTTGAGCTCCTCGCGGCTCACCCGGCTGTGCAGGTCCCGGAGGGTCCTCTCCTTCGTGTAGATCTGGTCCTTCTCCTGGAGAATGGCCGCCTTGAGCTGCGCGAGCTCCTGGCCCTGCTGGGTGGCCCGCTGCCGCTCGCCCTCTGACCG